TCGAACTTTGACCTTTACCTCTTGGCTTTGGTCCCCTGTTTTAGGTGTTCTTTTGTATACTCTGTAATGTACAATTTTTTTGTGCTCCTTTTGTCTCCTCCAACCTCTGCTTGTGATTTCTCTGTGTTTATGTTTTTTTTTGTATCTTCAACTTCTGACCTCTTCAGAACATGCTTTTTGTTATGGAGATGATGAAAACAAAAATAAAAAAAAAATAACACAGGAGATGATGAATAGAATATTTGGCCTTTTTATTTTTTTATTTTTGTGAACTGAATTGTTGATGATAATCAGCCTTCATGTTTTTTTGTTCCTCAAATTCATCTTCCATATATGTTTTTTAATAATTTTTCAAATAATCCTCAACATGCTTACTATATGGTTGATGAATAATTTTTGATATGTGATATGCTGAAATTGATTTTTATATAGTACAATGACCAAGGATAAATTGAAAGCCTCATGGGATATGAGGAGTACTAAGATTTTTATTGACATACTTGGACCAGTGCACAAGAAGCAAAGAAATGGTGGTAGCTTTAGCAAAGCAAGCTAGATAAATATAGAAACTACCTTCAATAGTAAGACCAAGAGAAAATATGATAAGCAACAATTCAAAAACAAATGGGATAATTTGAGAAAGGAATGGAAAGACTAAAATAGATTCATTCTTAGTGAGACAGGGCTAAGATGGAATCATGAAAAGAACACGGTAGATGCTCCGGATGATTGATGAGAGAAAAAGATATCGGTATGATGAGGATATATATTTATTTTCTTTATTCATGTGTTTTGTGCAATATTATTACTAATATATGTGCAGGAAGATCCAACATATGAAAAATTTTGATATAAAGAATTATTCTTTGCAAATGAAGTATGTGAATTGTTTCAAGATATAGCAGCCACAGGAGCCAAATCATGGGCTCCATCAAGTAGAGCCCTCCCTTATCAATATCATAGACTTGAAGATGAAGAAGAAGATGAGTATTGCCTATATATGAAACAAGGTGTATATGTTGAAGAAGGTTTGGGAGATAGTGATAAAATTTTAATGAGTTACTACTGGAGTAAGTGGTGAGTTCTAAAGAGTAATTCTAAATACTTCATAGGGAATCTATGGTGAAGGTAATGGGAAGGAATTGGGAACCATAAGTGGAGGCAGTGGGAAGAGGAAGAGGGTTGAATGCAACAACAAGAGAAAAAAAAATGACCACCTCAAAAGTAATAACTGATGCAATAAGTAAAATAGCCAGTGTATCAGAGATAGAAGCAACCCGTGTAAATGGAACATCAATAGTTGAAGTTATGCAACATGTTAATGCAGTTGATGAAATTAGAAATGACTATGATTTGTGTGCATGATGTATTTCACTCCCCATTGACCAGACTGTAAGGGAAATGTCTACCGAGATGAGGAAAACTAATATGGAGGCTTGCATTGCATGGTTAAGAGATCAATCTTTTAAAAATAGATGATTATGAGGTGTATTAAAACTTGTTATTAACTTATTAACTTAGTTATATTAGCTTGACTTCATGGTATTGTAATTAGTTATATTAGCTTGAATTTATGGTATTGTAACTTAGTTATATTAGCTTGACTTGATGGTATTGTAACTTAGTTATATTAGCTTAACTTCATGGTATTGTAATGATTTTTCCTGACTCTATGGTACTATAAAGCTTTTTGTTGACTTTATGGTATTTGACTTCATAGATGATTATTATGCTTTTATATATGATTATGCATTTACAGTTGCTTATCACTTATTCAACTTCATAAACATCATTATTGATAAAGTGTACATGTAAATATGTATTTGACTACATGTACAAAGAACTATGGCAGAGTCATATAAATAACAATTAAAAAGAGCTCAAAAAATCAGTGCCATAGTTGGTTTATATGTAGTAAAACATTTGTGCAAAGAGCTTCGAAGAAATAGTGAATATACAGGTCAATTTTGGATTAATGCAATTTTAGAAGGGCATCCAATTCATTGCTATGAAATGTTTAGAATAGAAAAACAGGTGTTTGATCAATTATGTATTGAATTGGTAAGGTATGGATTGAAAGAAACTAGGCAAATGGGAGTCCAAGAAATGGTTTCAATATTTTTTTAATACGCTTGCACATGGGTCAGGAAACAGGGTGGCGTAAGAAAGGTTTCAACACTCAGGAGAAACTATTAGCAAGCACTTTCATGTGTTTTATCAGTTTGCAATATCCTTGCAATGGAATGTATCAAACGACGAGATCAAACATTTTGTCATAGATCAACAAAATTGCAATATGGTACACGATATTGTCCTTTTTTTAAAAATACAATTGTAACAATTGATGGTACACATATTTCATGTGTGGTCAATACCGGTGAACAATAAAAATATATTGAAAGAAAAGGAATCCCAATGCAAAAGGTAATGGCAGTTTGTGATTGGTACATGTGTTTCACATTTGTCTTAACTAGATGGGAGGGCACTGCACATGACTGTCGCATATTTCAAAATGCTCTCACAATTCCTTCAATGAACTTCCCACATCCGCCTTCAAGTATATTAATTTTTTTAAAAAAATTTAGTTATCTTAGACTTAAAATTACAAACATTGACATTAATATTGTTTTTTATAAGGTAAATATTATTTGGTAGATACTATGTATCCAAACCCAAATGGATATGTTGGACCGTATAGACATGAGTGCTATCATCTTTTTAATTTCAAGAGGTCATCTTCATTTGCAAACAATAAATGGAGTCTTCAATTATTATCATTCAAGTTCAAGGTGCACCATAGAAAGAACTTTTAGAATTTGGAAGAATAGATTTGCAATTTTACACCATATGCCTAACTATGATTATGATACACAAGTTCAAATTGTTGTTGCAACAATGGCAATACATAATTTTATTAGAAAGCAATTTGATTCTGATTATGAATTTATGTATTATGAAAAGGAAGATCACATGGAGCATGAGGATAATGATCATGTTGATGACTATTCATCCCTGCCTTCATCTACAGCATCCTCATCAAATATGGCTCATCTTCACGATGCCATTAGAGATCAGATGATTTATTATCTCCCAAGTCATTAATGATTGTAAACTAGATGTTTAATATTTAAGATTTATATTTGTCTCTTTTATTAAATTTATTTTAAGTTAGATATATAGATTTATATTTTTACATGGATTCATTTTATCAATATTACATTAAAAAAATTGATAAAAAATTATTACATTATAAAAATGAATGTCCTTTATTGTAATTTACCCATTTAAAATTGATTTTGAAAAAAATTATCCAAACCTCTTCAATTTTATCAAAATTAATTTTTGAAAATTTATCCAAACATTATCATATTCTTAAAATTAATTTTTTTCAATTAAAATCCAAACGGGCCTTTAATAGTTCTTTTAATAGTTCTTGTATTGTCATTGTTGTTGTTGCCTCTTTCAGTATGAGGGTTTTATGTCTTCTTTGTCACAACCAATTCATGGAAAATCTTGCTCTTCATTACCAAATAATGTATTTAACAGCTCTTCCAAGACAAGCACCTCCCCTAATGAAATTTAAATCTTAATTTATCATGTTGTTAGAAATAATAAAAAAAATTATTCTCACTTTTCTAAATATTTTATATTTTAAAAATAATAAAAAATATAAAATAATACTCATGTTTTTAATTTTTTTCAAAAAATATTTATAATAATATACTCAAATATATGGTCTCTCTATGTAAAATGAACCAATTTTTTTTCAAATCTATTTTGGCTTACTTTAATTGGTCTGAATATTAAAAATATATTATTTGTTCAAGCTCATATTTAAAATCTTTTAAGCTTATTCAGGTGGCCTATCGTGCTTATCTTGAAATATTGTTGGGAATCCTATAATTTTGGGCTACATTACATTACCTTTAAAAGTATAGAGGAAACATCACACTTTTTAAAATTTAATTATATTAATTGCCTCTCATGAAAAAGTTTAGGAGTGAATTTATACTTTAATTTTATTTATAAATAAGTTTGCTTTACAGTGCCCATGCATAATTTTTCCTTAAAATATTCTTTGCAGTGTAAATAATTTGATTCGAAATACTTCAACAATTGCATTTTTAATTTCTTATAATCAGTAAAGGCGCTGTCTCAATCTGTCAATAAAATCGTATTAATTATTGGAATTTTTTGGATGGAAATAGCAAATATGTACTCAGTTAATTTCCTCCCAACCCTTAATAAATGATTTAATCATTATCATTAATCATTAATATATTAATTAGAAGTAAATCAATTTGGAAATAGTAAAAAAATTAGACATAAACTACTAAGTAAACTGTCTTGAATTATATACAACTGCATATTGCATTAAGAAATGGGAGGAAGTATTAAGGGAAAATAATAATGAAGGATTGCTAAAAAAAATTTATATCAATCAAGAACTAATTATTTTTAAAATTCAAATGAAAAAAAGCTCAAATAAGTTGTAAAATTAGTTTTTATTAAAACTTAAATAAATATTTATTAGTAAAAGATTAACTTGAACTAATAAGTATCTATTCTGATTTTAATAAAATGATCATTGACTGATATAAATTTTCTTCAGCTTGATTGATATTTTCCCACGTATTAAATTGGCATATAACAAGTCTTTACATTAAATATTAACATAATGAATTTCTTTTTTATTTTTAAATTTTAATGAAACAATAGAATTCAAATAGCCTTTCAATTATATCAATAAAAAATATTTTATTTTTTAAAAATATGGAAGAATTACATATAAATCTCACTTTACATAATTAATTACTCTCATTTTTATTGACAACTGAATTTAAGATTATGTATTGTCATTTTTCTAAATTCAATTATTAATATATTTGATAGTAATTAATTATATTGAGTATAATTTTAGAGAAATTCCTAAATCTTTTGAGCATGCAGAATTCAAACCCAGTATTTTTTTTTTTTTTCCATCAGAGAAGCCACGAAAACTTGGATAATCTAAATCTGGCTTTACAAATAAGCCTTTAACTTTTTTTTTTTAATAGAAGGCTAAAGAAAAAATTATACACACAAACAAATTGAGTCAGCGTACAAAAAATATTTACGATCAAAAGACGGGCTTTTATCCAATTTCAAAGTAGATAGAAGCTTACTTGCATATGGATGGGTCTGAGGAGTCAAACGTCTGAAAATTGAATATCTGGTGGCTGAATTCTCTCGCAAGTTTCCGCGTTTAACCATTCTATAAAGCAACCAAATCCCTGAATTTGCAGTGTGTGCCGACCATGGAGACCCTCCCTGAGCAGCTCATCGTCGACGTCCTCTTGAGATTGCCAGTCAAATCTTTGTTGCGTTTCAAATCTGTAAGTAAGTTATGGCGTTCTCTGATTTCCGATCCTCGCTTTGCCCATTCCCATTTTCAATTATCTTCATCCCTCGCCGATAGGATCGTTCACATCGCCAATTTTGGAGGCCGATCCATAGATTTCCACTCATCTTTCGATCGCGATTCTGCGATTGCAAACCTTAATTTTCCGATCACACCAAATGTGATGATTAGGGGTTCTTGTAGAGGCTTTGTGCTTCTCGATGCTTATCATCACTTGTTTATCTGGAATCCATCCACTGGTTTCTACAAACAAGTGCCGTACTTCCCTATGCTGTCGCCATTTTGCCCTTTCGTTCTTGGTCTCGGCTATGACGCCACCGATGATGACTATTTGTTACTTGTCGGGGCGTGTGATCCGTATGATGATGACTGCGGATCCGATTTCCAGTTTTTCTCAACGAAAGCCAATTCATGGAAGAAAATTGAGGGCACTGGTAGTTTTCCCTATATGAATGCCATAGATGACCCCAGGGCTGGGGTGTTTCTGAAAGAAGCCATTCATTGGTTGGCCTTCCGCCATGATACCTCTGTTGAATTAATCCTTGCCTTCAATGTGATTCAGAGGAAATTAATTGAAATTCCTCTGCCTGGTGACTTTTCCGAAACCTTGGAATTCGTTTTTCTGGGAACACTGGGAGGATATCTCAGTCTATACGTTGTTGATGATGACTTGAACGGAGGAGAAATTTGGTTGATGAAGGAATATGGAACGAAGTCGTCCTGGACTAAATCCATAGTTGTGTCTGTTGAGATTCCCTGTGACTACTTCTTCCCAATATGCTTAACTCAAAGTGGTGAAATTGTAGGATCAGATGGTCGTAATGCGCTAGTGAAATGCAATGAGAAAGGACAAGTGCTAGAGCGTGGCGATTACAATTATCGAATGGATGAGGATGACACAGTTGTGTGTAGAGACAGTTTGCTTTCACTTCCTTGTGACGGTGGGCGGTGTGGAAGAAACAGAAGAAGAGCAACAAAAACGAAGAAGAGGTATTAAGAAATAGGGAGAATTGCATCCCGGTTCTACCTAAAAACAATTAATTACTATAAATTTATTAACAATTGAATTAAAGCTATTAATAATGCATTGTTAATAGATAAGATTATTAATAAACTTTAGAAAAATTACTCTCTCACTCTCTGTTTGTCTTTTCACTAGTATATTTTCTCCCTTCTTTTGTTGAATTCAAAAGGATCTAACAATTCTGCAAAAAAAAAAAAAAGTAATAATTCTGCTCCATTTTAAAAAGAGAAAAGATGTAATAATTTCAATATTTTAAGAACCTGACCCCTTGAACGATTATACCACCATTTGGATACAAGAGTTGCTTTGTTTGATTCATTAATGTGGCATTCAACAAGATTTTGAAGGTGGCATCAATGGTGGCATCAAGAGTGGCAGGGTTAAGAAGTTGGAAATAATATTTGGATTATTAAAGTTCATTTAGTATAATTTAGTCAAATTTTTCTATTTTTATTGAATTTTCGTATTTAATTTTCAAGTATTTTTTTTACGTAATATTTTAAGCTTTAATAACCTATTGTGGGCTTTTAGGCTTAAGTTATCCATCAGAGTTTTTATGTTAGAGTTTTTAGGGAGTTCTACTTAAGTTAGGTGTCTTTTTATTTTTGTAAATATTACTCGAAGAGGGTATCAAAGGAGAGCGTATGGAATAAATGTTATTTCTTTTTCTAACAAGCTTTGCTTGTTTAATCGTGTTCAAAGTTGAATATCATGTGACCTTTTGGATAATTGTAGTGTTGAGAGTTCCTTGTTTGAGAGATTTTAGGCATAATTCCAAATCTTCATTTGAGTATTTCAATTTGTGTGCTCTTCGTGAGATAAGACACAGTGAAATTTTGAGTTATTGTGTGGGCTTCGGTATTAGAATAATTTTGAAAAAATTAAAATCAACCCGGAACCTATAATGATTGGACCACTTTAAACCATTTTATCTTTTTTCATCTTATTTTAGTAATAAAATTTTTTATTCAATTTAATAGTTTTAATGTCAACTTCTTCTCAGTGTTATAATAAAATTTTGAGTGGAAACTCGCTTACTTTAAGGTGACAAATAAGCTAAATAAAAATATACATCTAAAAAACAAGAAAATTAATTAAAAATAAATATATTATGATTGAACAAATCTAAATTGAGATGATTTGAATATTCTTGATGTTATATATATATATATATATATATGTGGGCATGCATATAAATATTATTATTTTATTTAATTATTGTGTTATCGATTACATGTGAGAAATATAATTCAATGATCTTTCCTCTGAATACAAGAGATATTTGATTTTTATGTCTATAATGATGATTCCTTTGTGATGTGATTTAAATTCATCAATAAAAACAATATCCACTGTAAGAATTTTTATTAAAACTTAAAATCTTTAGAAAGGTTCGAGCCATATATCAAGGAATCAATTTAGACATAGAAATCAAGTTGCTCTTGTACGGAGGAGCATAACAAGTTTAATAAAGATCTAAAATAAAAGCATTGGATAAAATAATTCAAAAAGTTTCAACCACTTTTACACGATCGCCAATCCCACTATCTGAGAAGATTTTTTATTCACTAGCATGTGGACGGCTACTAGCTAGAAAGGCTGCATGGTATTCAACATGTGTATGATGGCACCAGATCAAGTGTCATTGTTGAGACCAGTTAAGTGAGATTTAAAAGTAACGCATTAAACAATCATACATCTCTTTTCAAGTCAAGTCTTCCTTCTGGCAAAAAAAAAAAAAAAGGTCAAGTCTTCCTCTTCGTATAATCATTCTTCATGTGCACCTTCTTTTTGCATATCAAAAGAAACATTTGGCCACCCTTTTATTTGTTTGTTGATGTCGGGGCAAATTTATTCTTCCTTTTCTTATCTTTCTTTCCCTTCTATCAGCAATTTCCACTTGTACATAATTTATCTTTTATAGGAGATTTTTTACATCAATTCAAAGGCATCCACCATTGAAAGTAGAGACAGTAACATTTTTATAATATTTGTTAACATTGTAAAACTTTAAACATCTTCAAATTAAACTATTGTAGAAAATACTTTTAATATCAGATGTCTTTTAACCTGATGTTGAAAGTGCTAAAAATAAAAAAAATAAATAACTCTCAACAACGGGTTGACTTCAAATATTAATAAGCTTGTGTATTCTTTAAATATTTGGATCAAAGAGTTGAAATTGGTAAGTTTAAAATCTCATGATTATCATGTCTTGATACAACAATTATTATCAGTAGCCATTCGAGATATATTAAAAGAAGATTTGAGGCACACAATAACTAGATTTTGCTTTTTCTTTAATGTGATATATAGTAAAGTTATTGATCCCCTTAAATTAGATGAGTTAGAATAAGGAGCTTATATTATCTTATGTCAACTTGAGATGCACTTTCCTCCTTAATTTTTCAACACTATGATACATTTAATGGTTTATATAGTGAGTGAGGTAAAATGCGTGGCCCTGTCTACTTAAGATAGATGTACTTAGTTGAGAGATACATAAAAATATTAAAAGGGTATACAAAGAATTCTTACTGCCCTGAAGCATCTATCGTTCAAAAATATGTTGTTGAAGAAGTTATGAAATTTTGTTCTGATTACTTATCAAATACAGAACCAATTGGCCTTTCTAAACCTCATCAGGAGAGGAGGCAATTAGGTCAAGGCACACATGGGATATCAATAAAGAGCATAAATCGTGATGAAGTACAAGAAGTACATTTATATATCTTTAATAATATTGACGAAGTGTGAAATTACATAGATACACATAGAGAACTTTTTAAGGTAGAACGCAATTGGCTCAGACTGACTAAACAAAGGTTCTTGAAAAAGCATAATAGGACTTTTGCATATTGGTTCGAACAAAAAGTCTTAAATGAAGATAACATTTTTTATATGATTAAATGGTTAGCATAGGGTCTTAACTTGGATGTGATATGCTAGAGTGCATACGATGTTACTAGGCATTCCTTCTATACAAAGTCTCTTGATAAGAAGAGTATTGTGCAAAATAATAGAGTTATGATAATGGCTGAAACTGGATACTACTCAAGTAAGAAAGATAAGAATCTAGAATTGGTATCCATGCCTTATTTTGAGATTATTGAAGAGATTTGAAAGGTTAATTATGCAAAATTTAGAGTGTCTGTTTTCAAATGCAAGTAGGTTGACATTAATGATATTCAAGAGGATAAGTTAGGATTTACATTGGTTGATCTTAAAAGGCTAATGTTATAAATTTGTAATTAGGATATAATTGATTAGTTAGTTAATATAGCCGTTGGGAAAAGTATAGCCGTTAAAGTATAGCCGTTGGGAAAAGCTTGGGAAGGGACGTCTATATATAGGTTGATAATTGTATTTTGAGGTTTTATGAATGGAAGACGTATTATTCAGTGCAATCTCTATTTCTCAATCTCTCTCAACTTCTCCTCTTTAATCTCTCTTCTTTCCTGCTCTCTCTATCTTTCTGTTCTTCTCTCATTCATTCCCGCTCCCTCCCCCAACTTTCTATCTTTCCAAATTATTCTTACCTATCAGTGGTATCAGAGCCAGGCGCTCCTTGGCCCCCTCTTTTATATCTCCAATTACGGTTCATGGTCAAGATGCGTAGCAGACACTAACAAAGCCGACCAGAGATGGAAGATTTCATGGTCAAGATCGAAGAAAACAATGGAAAGATTGACGCCTTGACCGAATTGGTTGATAGGCTTTCCCAATAGTTTCAGTCTTTGGTAAGGGACCGAGAGGCTGAAAGAGAAGGCCACCATTGAAATGGACAGATTGCTGAACGCCATCATGAGCATGAGGATTATAGACACAGAGAGGGGTATGAACGAAGAGAATACCGGAGGCCCATGCAGTTCACGAAGATGGAGTTCCCAAAGTTTACTCGGGAAGACGTTCTCGGGTGGATTTTGAAATGTGAGCGATATTTCGAGCTTGATGAGACGCCAGAAGAAACCAAGATCAAGATAGCAAGCATGCATCTTGACCCAAGAGCCTTCCAATGGCATCAAGCTTATAAGAAATCATGGGAAGGAATTCGGCCGACGTGGAAAGAATATATAGAAGAAGTGAAAGATCGTTTCAGACCTGTTCATGAGATGCCAATGAGCGATTTAGCTCGTCTGAAGCAACGAGGAGTTCTGGCTGAGTATCACGATGAGTTTGATATGCTTGCGTGTAAGCTGCGACTGCCAGAAGAGTATTTGGTGGACATGTACCTCTCGGGTCTTCGAGAGGAATATGAGGGTCCAGTCCGCCTATTCAAACCTCGGACCCTGAGGGAGGCTCGGAAACTCACGAGAATGTAAGAAATCATATTCCAGAGACAGACCGAGAAGAAAACCCAGAATAAAGGGGAAGGATACGTGGCCACCTCAGTTTCGGCCACCCAACCCTCAGCACTAGCCACACAAACCTTCCAGTCAAACACGTGGGGTTCATATAAAAAAGCACTAATGGGTAATGGGGCCCATACTAAAGTCAAGACACCCTCTTTACCTCAGAAAAGTGTCTCGGTCAATCAAAAATTAGTCAACACTGTCCCGAAAATCCTTTCGGCGGACGAAGAAGCTGAACACATAAGAAAAAACTTGTGCTTCTACTGTCATGAAAATTTTTCACGAGATCATAGATGCCCACAAAGGCAGAGATTACAGCTTCATTTTATTGAGGTTAATGATGTCCCAAAAGAAGTTACTCAGCTGGAAGAAGATGGTGAGGTTGAAGGGGAAGACACCCAACCTTTTATCTCACTACACGCTATGGAAGGAGTTGATGATGGCTCTTCAATGAGGCTCATAGGGTATTTTGGCAAGAGGCAGCTTCATATTCTAATTGACAGTGGCAGCACCCATGACTTGGTGGACTTTAATGTGGCAAAATGACTCGGGTGGCAAGCTGATGGAACGAAGGAGGAATGGGTAGAGGTGGCTGGAGGAAGAAGATTAAAGGTGCATAGAATTTAGGAGGGGTTCAAATGGAGAATGCAGGGCTTAGAATTTTCTTTTGATTTCAGAATTCTTGAATTACATACCTATGATTTAATATTGGGGCTGAAATGGCTCAAAAGTATTAAAAATACTTTCTGGGATTATGAATCTCTAACCATGTTTTTTAAGCTTGAAGGAAAAATGTGTAAGCTTCAAGCTATGCCTTCCAATACCCTACGAGTAGTGCAACCAAAGAGAGTGGAAATTAAGGATTTTTCTACTAACCAAGTATTTTTGCTGCAATTAATTCCCAAGGGGCGTGAGAAGGTGGAAATCTTCTCAGTACAGACCTGTACGGAAATCCCAGAGGCGATTAATTCCACATTGCAAGGGTTCCCTAACCTCTTTAAAGCACCCAAGGGGTTGCCATCGTTTCGTGAGGGACACGATCACTCTATTGTTCTTCAAGAAGGTACCAATCTCGTAAACTTAAAGCCCTATAGATATCCCTCCACCCAAAAGGATGTTATTGAAGGGTTAGTCAAGGAATTACTACACACGGGGGTAATACAAGAGAGTTCCAGCCTATTTTCTGCTCCAATTGTCTTAGTCAAAAAGAAGGATGGTATTTGGAGGATGTGTATAGATTATAGGGAATTAAATAAAAAGACAGTGAAAAATCAATATCCTATTCCCTTAGTAGAAGACCTCTTTGATGAGTTAAGTGTTGCAAAATGGTTTACAAAATTGGATTTGAGGGCTGGTTATCATCAAATCCGAATGGTGCCTCAAGATGTTTCAAAGACTGCTTTTAAGACACACAGTGGGCATTATGAATAGTTAGTTATGCCATTCGGTCTAACGAATGCACCAGCAACTTTCCAAGGGGCTATGAATAGTATATTCCGTCCTTATTTAGGAAGTTTGTGTTAGTTTTTTTTGATGATATATTGATCTATAGCGCTAATCTTAATGATCATGTGCAGCACCTCAAGGAAGTGTTTTCTATTTTGAGACAGCATCAGTTCTTTATTAAAAAGAGCAAATGTCAGCAAGTGAAGTCGAGTATTTGGGACATTTAATTGGTGGGGGGCAAGTCAGAACAGATCCCAAGAAAGTGCAAGCAGTGGCTGAATGGCCTGAACCCACAAATATCAAGCAATTAAGGGCTTTCTTGGGGCTGGCTGGATACTATAGAAGGTTTGTTAAGAGCTATGGGATTCTAGCTAAGCCACTAACTCTTCTTCTTAAGAAGAATGAATTTAAGTGGTCAAGGGTAGCTGCTACAGCTTTTACTAAACTCAAGGAAGTCTTTATTTCTGCACCTGTACTCACTCTTCCAGATTTCTCGAAACAATTTGTAGTTGAAACTGATGCTTGTGGAGTAGGGGTAGGGGCTGTTCTAATGCAATTCGGTCAACCAATTGCTTACTTTAGCAAGGGTTTAGCTGAAAGGCATCAAAAACTCTCGATATATGAAAAGGAATTGATGGCGGTGGTCTTGGCTGTGCTTCATTGGCATCAATATTTGGAAAGGAAAAGATTTATAATAAGGTCAGATCAGCAAAGCCTAAAATATCTACTAGGGCAGAAGTTAAAAACCAGTTTTCAGATGTTTTGGGTTGCTAAATTAGCTGGTTTTGACTATGAGATTCAGTATAAAAAGGGGAATGAAAATTCTGTTGCAGATGCTCTCTCAAGAATACCAAAACAGCAAATTATGCAGATGATTTTAGACACATCATCACCAGAGTTGCTTGAGAAGATAAAGGAAAGTTGGGATGTGGATGCTGTTATTTCAGAAATTCGGAAGAAAACGCAAGAGAATGAGGGAATTTGGGGTCATTTTTCTTGGGATGGGAGCTTATTAAGAAGAAAAGGGAAGCTGGTAATAGGGTCTCATCCTCCTTTGAAGCAACAAATATTGGAATGGCTCTATGCAAGCCCACAAGGTGGTCATTCAGGAATTCAGGCTACATATCAGAGGGTTAAGTCCTTATTTTGGTGGAAAAAAATGATAATTGACATTTTTGATTTCATTAAACAGTGTGATACATGTGCTAGGTGTAAATATGAGACTGTTGCTGCCCCTGGACTATTACAGCCTTTGCCTATTCTTAGTAAGGTATGGGAGAGTATCACTATGGATTTTATTGAAGGGCTCCCTAAATCCTTTGGCAAGGACACTATTTGGGTAGTAATTGACCGTATGAGTAAGTATGCACACTTTGTACCACTCACTCATCCCTTTTCAGCTTCCATATTAGCTCAAATTTTTATGGATCAAGTTTATAAATTACATGGGGCACCATCTGAAATTATTAGTGACCGTGACCCTTTATTTGTTAGCGGCTTTTGGAAAGAGTTTTTGCAGGTTTTGGGAGTAAAGCAACTTCTTTCCACTACGTATCACCCTCAAACGAATGGGCAGTCTGAAGTGCTTAATCGTTGCTTGGAAACCTACCTTTGGTGTATGTGTTGGGAACAGCCCAAGCAGTGGAGTAAGTGGCTGTCACAGGCAGAATGGTGGTATAATACCACTTTTCACACAGCAACTAAGGCTACTCCCTATGAACTTCTATATGGTCAGAAACCTCCTCTCCATTCTCCTTATTTACCTCATAATAGTGTGCTAGATGCTGTGGACAGGTCGTTTACAGCAAGGGAAGAGATGATAGCTGTTCTCAAACATCATCTCCATCGTGCTGCGAATATGATGAAGCAAAGGGCAGACTCACACAGATCTGATCGGGAATTTGCAACCTGATTATTTTGGGCCTTACAAGGTGATTCAAAAAGTTAGAGTAGTGGCCTATAAGTTAGAACTACCACCTGATTCTAGAATACATGCAACCTTTCATGTATCCCTATTGAAGCTATGTCCTAATCCTAAAGTCAAGCAGAGGCATCCACCTCTTGACTGGCCTGAAATACCTCCTGTTTTAGAACCTGAATGCATTTTGCAGAAAAGAGTTGGCTGGAAAAAGAGGAGGATAATTACTAAAATTTTAGTCAAGTGGAAGCAATTACCTGAGGAAGAAGCATCCTGGACAGCTTTACATCAGTTTCAGCAGTAATTTCCTTAATTTGTTGTTACTGATCCTTGAGGGCAAGGATCTCTTTGGGGGGGTATTGTTATAAATTTGTAATTAGGATATAATTGATTAGTTAGTTAATATAGCCGTTGGGAAAAGTATAGCCGTTAAAGTATAGCCGTTGGGAAAAGCTTGGGAAGGGACATCTATATATAGGCTGATAATTGTATTTTGAGGTTTTATGAACGGAAGACGTATTATTCAGTGCAATCTCTATTTCTCAATCTCTCTCAACTTCTCCTCTTTAATCTCTCTTCTTTCCTGCTCTCTCTATCTTTCTGTTCTTCTCTCATTCATTCCCGCTCCCTCCCCCAACTTTCTATCTTTCCAAATTATTCTTACCTATCAGCTAACTTATGGGGAGGAGCCATTTATTATAACAGACTAAGCAAAATAAGTTTTCTATGTCACCAATCCAGCAAATAAAAGTTAGTCAATAGCTCTCAAAGGAAAAATGGTAATTGATAGTGATGATAAAAATGAAGCAGGCTTTGATATTTTTAAGACCCCTACCTTCTAGTCAGGACTACTCAATTTGAATTTAAATGAGATAAATGACAAACATGCCATATGAAGTGATTACCATTAAGGGATATGAGAGAATATCCTTATATGAATTTAATTTTGAAATTATTTTTAGTTTTTTAATTTTAAATTATGTTTTATTTACAATTCTTTGTGTTTTATTTATTGTTGTATTGTTTGAATTATGTTTTATTTACAATTCTCTGTTATATTTTTATGAACTTGAAGATGTATCAAAGTAAATCTACTAACAGTGCTCAGAGCTAGCCGACTGCGTAGGTTAGCCTACTACAAAGGTTACTTAGAGCTAGCCAACTGTAGAGGTTGCTTAGAGTGGTGATAATGATCTTAGTCAAAGCTAGTCAGTGAGGAGGGACAGACGAGGCATGCAACTAAGAGAGCTGACCTTAAGTGAGACTATTGGCTGCAGATTATCAATTTAGTTCGACCAGCGATAGAAACCATAAGGGCTAAATAAGGCTAAGTTTGTTAGCTACCTTAGGCTCCTATCATGTAACAATCCCAATATCTTGTTTGAAGATTGGCTTGATGTGCCAAAACATGTGAAGAAACAAATTTGGGAAAGCATTCAAGTATATCATTGAAAAGTTATAAATATTTGTGATTATTACATGTAAAATACTAACTATTATTAATTGTAGCTCACCTATGATGTTTCAAATGATCAAGCATGTCAGAGACAGTTGCTAAAATATTATGGAGAGTGTTAAAGAGCTTTTAAGACTGACCTTGTGAGGAAATTTATCCATGTTGAGTTGAAAGAATGTCAGGCTCGTCGTAATCCTCTTGAGGCAATTTTTGGATGAACAAACTTGGCAGGAATTCTATAGGATTTGGACTTTTGAAAAAGCTATAGTTAGTTAATTTTTAATTGACTTAGTTTTAGTAATTTAATTTAATTGATTGTATTAATTTGCTAATTTCTTATTAATTAACAGGAGAAATGAGCAAAAGGGCAAGAAATTGTTGGGAAAAATGAAAGCCTCCACATAATATCTCATGGGAGTTATCATTGGGTTGACGATATCTTAATGAATGAAAAGTTGAAAAAGAGAGAAGAAGAAGCTAAATTCAATCATTCTATTCTCTTATGCCCACCATCACTTATCTCTTGTGAGGATAAATAGAGATATGGTCATAAATACATGAAAGTAGGGTATACAAGTGAGAAGGCACATGAGATTGCCGAAAGGATTGTAAGTAACATTTAATTTTTAAATTTTCTTTATTCAATTATTCATATTTTTTGTTATGATTTTTGTTTTGTTTGTTACAAGAGGCACTTAAGGAATAGCAAGTTTAAGGATCCTTCACTCCAGAGGGTAGAAATGACATCTTGCTGGTTGTTATAGGCAACCCAAAGCATCTAGTACATGTTAGATGTGTTGGATTTGGTGTGAGAATCAAAGTTTACTTTAGAATACCTACACACCCTAGCAACTCGAGTGCTGTTATGAGAGAGAAGCTAGAAACTATAATGACAAATATAAGGCAACAAGCAATGAAGAATACTAAAGCTTTATTTGAAGCTTGCTTGGAAGCTTAGCTTGCAAAAAATGAAAGAGGAGATGATGACTTTCATGACCTCATGATAAGAGATGACTGCCAATGCACTTCATACATAATTTTATTAGTTTCACAACAAGAAAGGGAGTAATATTATTAGACATGTGTCAAAGGGTCCTTCAGTTAGAAATATCAATAAACTATGTGAGTTATATTTAAAGGACTTTGCTAGATGCTTGGTTGCTTTTGGCAGTGTTCACACTTTGGAACAAACCTTCCACTATGAGCAAATGCAACCAAATCAAGTGAGAGTAGTGGTAGAAGATGTAAAAGTACTAGAGGTACTCATTCCATTCCTTATTGTTTTTATACAAAGTCGTAGGCAACCATAAAAGATTAGCTTGTGCGGGTATATGTGATGAAGCACATACTCAACATCATCACACTAGGAATGACTAAATTTACTAATGAGGTAAATATATTTTTGAAAGGCTAATTTTGTTGTTATTTGAATTAGTTAGTTAATATTTTAATTGTAATTTTATACTTCAATTTAGATTTTTGATATTGCAGATTCATTCTCTGAAGAAGAGGTTAACAACATCTTCATATGCTGAGCACAATATTTTGTGAATGGTATATGAGATTTAGGTAGTTTTTTAAGAAATTGTATAGGCCATTTGAGTTTTACGTAATTTCTATAAAATTTTGTATTAAAATTTGCATTGTTTATATGTACTAGAACTAACTGGCTTTAAATTGCATAGAACATTTCAGTTGCAAGAATTGGGGGAATAAGTAGAAACAGATTCAATTTTTTTGGACTACAACCTCTATTAAAAGTCATACTTTCAACCGTGGTTGTTACGATAATTGCTATTAAAAGTCTCACTTTTTTCCAAAAATTTAAACAATGATCAACTTTTAATAGCAGATTTTGAACCGTTGTTGAAAGTTTTTTTAGCAACGGTTGTCCGTCACAGACTTTTAACATCCCCCATAACAATAGCGGTTATGTAATCGCTATTAAAAATATTTTTTACCCATTATTAAAAGCATATTATGTAATAGTTTTCATTAAAACTCAACTAAATAAGCCTCTTTTAATTTGGTGCATCTCTCCCATTTTTCGGCAATCTTGTTTCCTCTTGAACACATATGGTTTGTAGTTCGTCCCCTGTCTAGTTTTCATTATGTGTGTGTAGTAAGAAACTTTGTATCGTCAAAAGGCCTCTATGTGAAGAGAAGTATCTCATCTTCATTGTATGTTGTCTTACTCCTCCAATACCTGCAAGTCTAATACTTCATATATGATTTTCAAAGTAATACTCTCACCTAACAACTTGTTGGATGGCTTGAATTGCTTATTCTACAGCTGCAAATAATCTTTGGCAATACAATTTTCAGGGACAGCACCCGAATGCTTCTTGTAATCCGTGTTCAGATAGCAGAAGTCATAGACAGTTAGATTGCTCCCACTGATCATAATAGTTCATTGCATGTTGCTTAGTAGAATTATCAACTAGCTTAGGGGTTTGTCAACCTTTAAAGCAGAATACAAATCCACGCAACCAAGCTGAAGCAAAACATCATCCTTTTAGTCCGAGTAGTTAATTAGTACCATCTATGAACGTTTTGCTACTAATTTATGTAACAATTCTAGAAGTGGCTATAGAAAATACAAGATTAAGTATCATTTCAAGATTTGATTTTTGGAGGTATACAAGAAGAACTTTGTTTTTGAAAGGACAACTTTGCTTAGATTTTTTTTAAGGAATTAGTCACATGGTTGCCGATTATAGATATATGCTAGATAACAAAAAAAAAAAAAAAAACTGCAAGACAATTAGAAAAGGAAAGTAAACACAGTCACATTTTAGTTTTGAGGCAATCACAATGCCATGCATGTATGTTTAATGACGTTTATACTAATATTTACATGTGGACAAAGACGCTAGTATAACAAAGGTTGTCTTTTAAAAAATTCTTTGATCCTTAATATAAAACACTCAAAAGCATATTATTTATATTTTTATAATATTACTTATATTTAGACTCATTAACTATAAAAAGAATGTAATTGAAATTTTAAAAAAATCATTTAAATAGAAGTAAAATGGAGAGTTTATTTTATTTTTAAACAAAATTAATTACTTAACGATATCTTCTTGATTTGATTAGTTAGTTAATAAAAGAGCCGAGAGTGGGTATGTGCATTTGAACTGCATACACATCAAAATTTCGGTGAGAATTTAATAAGAACACAAGTGGCGCCCAAACCAATTTTCTGGAAATTTGCATCACAAATCCAGCTCAAAAGGCCCAACGAAGCCTAGCTCCGCATTTGTTGCCTTTTAAACAATTTATAGAACCAAAAATAAATGAAGGCCTGAATTATTATTTTTTAAGTAGAAGAACATCTATTAATAGCCTGAGATTACAAGCTATATTAAACTCATAATCTTTCACTTACAATTACAGGAAAATTTATATGTTACTAGGCTACACAATCATTAATACGAAGGCCAAAATTATGACATGCCTAAATTAAATAGCAGATCCAAATGTCATAATTGCAACACAAATTAGCCTAATTAAAACCATGGTGCTGAACGCATGCTAAGCCCTTTTTTTTATTTTAAGAAAAAAAATTGCTGGAGCAAAGCAGCGTCAGCACTTCCATTTTCTAACAGTATGTCAGATAAAAAAATGGCCCACCTTGATGGTGTTATGAGCTGAGTCTTCGGCTGTTACTCTAAATATTGTTGGTATCTTACATGACTGTCTCAAAGTTGAAGTTTGATTATTTTTAACTTCTGTGATAAGTAAGATTCTAACTGTATCCTTTTATGTTAGTTTATTTTTAAATTCTTTTTTCTGAAATACTGGACATTTTGAATTTTTTAGGCACTTTTCTATACTTTTTTTTAATCAATTAATAATCTTCCTTTAAAATATTATACCATTTAAATTCAGTACTCTTGTAGTGTTAAGGATAAAATTATAAATATAATAGACCAGGATCAGTATGAAAACAAAAATGCTTGTTTGAATAATATTATATGTCCCCTTAATGTGCTACAAAAAAAAAAAACTTAACAAGAGAATAATGAAGAGATGAGAAAAAATCTCTTGATTAATTTGGTGATTCATTTTATTCATTAATTTGGATGTTCATTCCTTCTCTTTTTTCATATAAATTTGCAAAATATCAAAATATTAAATTTGGATGACACAATATTTTAAAAAAAATCATTAATTGACCAAAAAATTATAAAAAATAACCTAAAAATTTAATAAATATTATTAAAATATTTAATATTTTAAAATTATTATTTATAAATATTTATTCAAAATTTATAAAATACGCACACATGCACGCACGCACACGCACACACAATGAAACAAAATAGAACTAAAATAATCTTTTCAATTACTCTCTCTCATAATATTTATAAGTTGCTTTTAATATTTTTATTAAAATTAAAAAAAATAAATTTTATTAATTTTATCTAAAAATTTAATAAGTTTTTAACTTTATCGTTATTAAATATATTTATTCTAAAAATAGAAGACTCTAGCATTTAATAATTTTCCTACATTAAATAAAGGTAAAAGAGTAAAGAAAAATATAATAATTGTGCTCTATAAATAAGATCAAAGCAAATATCCTCTCTTTATCTTATAAATAGGATCAATGAAATATATGAAAATATTTTATTTATTTATTTATATTTTAATAAAAATATTTTTTTTTATCTGGAAATATGTTAAGAAAAATCTTTTGAGCAGCAGAATCCAAACACTTCTGCAAGAAGCTAACTTGCTTATGGATGGGGTCTGAGAAGTCAAGTGTTTGAATAGTAAGTATCCGATGGCTGAATTCTCTCGCAAGTTTCCGTCATTAACCATTCTATAGAGCAACCAAACCCCTAATTTGCAGTGTGTGCAGTGTTGAACATGGAGAGCATCCCGGAGCAGCTCATCGTCGACATCCTCTTGAGATTGCCGGTCAAATCTTTGTTGCGTTTCAAATCTGTAAGTAAGTTATGGCGTTCTCTGATTTCCGATCCTCGCTTTGCCCAATCCCATTTTCAAATGTCTTCCTCCCGCGCCGATAGGATTGTTCACATCGCCGATTCTGGAGCTCGATCCATAGATTTCCACTCATCTTTCCATGACGATTCTGCGATTGCAAACCTTAATTTTCCGATCACATTAAATGTGATGATTAGGGGTTCTTGTAGAGGCTTTGTGCTTCTCGATGTTTATGATCACCTGTTTATCTGGAATCCATCCACTGGTTTCTACAAACATGTGCCGTACTTCCCTATGCCGTCGCCAGTTTGCCCTTTCGTTCTTGGTCTCGGCTATGACGCCACCGATGATGACTATTTGTTACTTATCGGGGCGTGTGATCCGTATGATGATGACTGCGGATCCGATTTCCAGTTTTTCTCAACGAAAGCCAATTCATGGAAGAAAATTGAGGGCACTGGTAGTTTTCCCTATATGAACGCCACAGATGACGCTAGGGCTGGGGTGTTTCTGAATGAAGCCATTCATTGGTTGGCCTTCCGCCATGATACCTCTGTTGAATTAATCCTTGCCTTCAATGTGATACAGAGGAAATTAGTTGAAATTCCTCTGCCTGGTGACTTTTTCGAAACATTGGAATTCGTTTTTCTGGGAACACTGGGAGGATATCTCAGTCTATACGTTGTTGATGATGACTTGAACGGAGGAGAAATTTGGTTGATGAAGGAATATGGAACGAAGTCGTCCTGGACTAAATCCATGGTTGTGTCTGTTGAGATTCCTTGTGATTTCTTGTTCCCAATATGCTTAACCGAGAGTTGTGAAATAGTTGGATCAGATGGTCGCAATGGGATAGTGAAATGCAATGAGAAAGGACAAGTGCTAGAGCGTGGCGATTACAATTATCAAATGTTTGAGCAGAACACAGTTGTATATACAGAGAGTTTACTTTCACTTCCTTGTGATGGTGGTGAAGGAGGAGAAGACAAGCAACAATAATGAACGAGAAGGCATGGGGCAAGGACTAGGGAACATTTTCTCTCTCTTTTATTTACAATTACATTTTCCTTTCTTTTGTTGAATTCTGAAGGGTGAAATTAATTCTGCAGAATCCTGTGTTTTCCCTCCCCTGCATGCTGTATGGTTTTCACTTTTAATTCTCTTTTCGAGCTTCAACCAATGCAATTAATATCTCTAATCATTATTCAAAGCAACAACAATTATTGGCTATTGTCCTATTTATAAGGGTGAGGAAGCATTCGTTTCAATCCTATTTATAAAGTTTTTTTTTTTTAAATTTTTGTATACCATATTAAATGTGAGAAATGGTATTAAATGCTAAGATATTTTATTTTTAATATATATAATTAGAGTAATGTTATTTAATTAATGATATTTAAAGTTTTTTAATTTTAATAAAACATGTCAAAAGTGATTTATAATAGGAGCAGAAGAAGTATTGTCTACATTTGTTCAAAATCTAAGATATACTTTTAACTATTCAATAAAGATTAAAAAGTAACAAAAGATGATTTGTATAATTAAAATAATAAAAAGATATTACCACTTTTTAAGAGTATCCATAAATTAAAATTAATCTATCTTAATTTTATTTAATTCTTTTCTTATATAATTTAATATATAAAATTTTCTGAATTTTGAGACAATTATACAGAATCTCCTCACATTTAAAAATTTAAAATTAATCTTATAATTTTTTTTTTACCATAGACTCCCTTACTATTATTTTTTAGTTATCTTATTAATAAAAGTTACTATGTCATGTTTAAAAAAAAAAAAGATATATAGTGGCTTATGTGACATCTCATGTATTTTAATAATAAATTTATAAAAATTTTAAACATATTTTTCTATTATTATTCACTTATATCGGATGCTGCTTAAATTGTTGCATATCCATTTTTAAGATCATGAAACGGACAGTGTCATAATCTTGACCATCTCTTCAGGCTACTCCTTTGTTTGGTTTGCTAGTTTTCTGTCAGTTTTTACTGGGGAAGTCAAATGTGGGTGACTAATGTGTTCAGTGCTCTTTGTTGTGATGAGCATCGAGTGCTCACTGGCCACTGAATGATGTGAGTCACCATTTTGTTTTGAAATAATCCTAGCCATTCATTTTAAATTAATTTTAATATATTGTTAAAGTTATATTTATAAAAATAAAATTTATAAAATTTAAAATAATTATATTAAATCTAAACTATCTTTCGTGCTCATCACGCATGAGATACTGGACTGTGTAAATTTAAATTTTTTATTTATCAAAATGGAAAATTATGAAATATTTTAATAAATATGTTAATCATCAATCAGCATAAATTTAATCTAGACATTCTAATTTAATATTAAATTTTTTATCATTTTTATAAATTATAAAAATAATAAACACGTTCCAATTTAATATTAAAAAAATTTATAATAACATAATTTATATATATTTTTAATAGTTTAGTTTTAAAATTAAAATTTTTTTATAAATTTTATTTAGATAAATGCAATTTAAAATGAACTGTTGGGATCAATTTCTAAATGAAATGGACCGTCCAGATCAGTTATTGTGCACCGAATGAATGCCGTCCCACTTTTTTCATGCCTGTTTGCCGCTACCTGGAGAACTCATCGTTCTCGTTTCATGCACACTTTGCATTATAGGCTTGTAATTCTCCTCAAGTTCAGCAATTACTTGTCTCACTCTGTGTTGATGATGTCTTAGTGGGATTTATTTTAGAGGGTCCCTCTTTTTTTTTTTTTTCTCTATGGTGTTTGTTAGTTTTTCTTTCCATTTGCTTTGTGGGCCAAGTCTGTTTTGTTTGGACTAATGTGTTTGCAATAAACAGACTTTTTTATTTAAAAATAGTTGTTGTTGAAATAAAATGGAGAAAATGTGATTTAAAATCCTTTAACCACACTTGATGAAAAAAAAAAAAAGGTTCTTTAAAGTCTAAAAATTCACTTTAAACGAAAGTATTGAAATAAAATTAAAATACAGAGTAAAATTATCTATTATCTCTTATAGCCTCTATTCTTTTCTGGCTTAATTTTCATTTTTTCTTTGTCAACGAATAAGCTCTCCAGTCTCCACACTTGGTTGAGCTCGCTGCCAAAAGTCATCAACTGTTGTCAAACATGCGTGGTTGTTCTCGGGCAAGTACGCAATCTTGAATGAAATTGGATCAAATGACTCTGAGTTTTGATCAAATTGCCGTTGAAAATTCTGCAGATGTACGCAGTCTTGAGCAGGACAAATATATGAATAGAATCAAAGAACGTTGCGGGACCGGGAAGGTAACCTCCAATTATGTCGAAGAGTTTGGTTCAATTCGGTCATCAATGTCTCGTTGGTCTACTGTACATTATTTGGCCGAGCTTGGTTCGATGGAGAATTTGTATCTGAAGATGGGATTCTGGCCATGAGAACGAGTTCTAATTTTGGTCCGGAGGGTCAGCATGGGAAGATGAGTTATTTTAAAGAGGTTACTTTTATTAGAATTTTTTTTTTCCTTTTTACCAAAGCAATCATATTAACAAACTTGTTAGTTGACATACACTAAGTTCTTAATTTCCCTTGTACACTTGTTAATGCAGCATACTGAAATTGTAAGGATTTGTAGAGGGAAGTTCATTGAGTCCTTTCAATTTAGTGCCAACAAACACTCCTTCTCCCTTGCAAAGTGTGCCACCAGCTGGCTTTCAAAGCTCGCAGAGATCCTCCAATACAGAAAGTTTAACTGAATAGAGTTTGCCTTTAGAGTTTGTACATGAATGTATCCACACAACCCATTTAGAGTTTTTTTTTTTTTTTTTTTTGCATGAGTTGCTCTTTGTAAAGGAGGTTTACTGAAATGGGTAAATCTTTGTAAATTAGGTTTCTCCATATAGGATGCCTTTTGTAAAGTGGTTCATTTGCATATGAAAAGATTTCATGTGGGAAAACATTCGATGCTAATGTAAATGATAATTTATTAATATATGTTATTAATTTTTTCAACATGAGTTATTTATGTCATTACTAAAGTTTGATTTTACTCCAAATGTTGGAATCATGATAAAATGAATTGTTCATTGCCCATACCAAAATTGTTCACTTCCTTATATGAAATTGTTCATTAACCTACAAGAGTTGTTTGTGTCATTGTTGAATATTAATTTTATTCCATGTTATAATCATGGTAAAATGATATGTTCATTTCCTTACATAAAATTATTCATTAACCTGCAAGAATTGTTTGTACCATTATTAAATTTTAACTTTATTCTAAGTGTTGTAATTATAGTAAAATGGGTTGTTCATTTTCTTTCATAAAGTTGTTTATTGCCTTACAAGAGTTGTTTATATCATTATTGAATTTTAATTTTATTTCAAGTGTTGTAATCATGGTAAAACAAATTATTCATTTCTTATATGAAGTTTTCATTGACTTATAGGAATCAATATTGTTTGTGTCATTACTAAATCTTTATTTTATTTCAAATATTGTAATTATAATAAAATAAATTATTCATTGACCTATAGGAATTATTTGTGTCATTAGAACAAGTCTGAGAAACAATGAGGTAATTTTACTTTGCATTTTAATCTTATTTCAATACCTCTTGTCTGAAATAAATTTTCAAAGTTTAAGAAGGTTTTTTTTTCATTAAACATGGTCAAGAAGTCCTGAATGAAATTTTCTCAAGAAAATATTACCAGGAAAATTAGGATATTAGACAGACATTATTTCTACCCCAAGAGTTGAGGGTGAAAATGACAAAAATGTAAAGATGCCAGGCAGTATTCTTCAAGAAGCTAACTTGTATGGATAGGGGTCTGAGAACTGAGAAGTGAAGCATCTGAATAGTGACTTTCCAATAGCTGAATTCTCTTGCAAGTTTCTGGCAATAACCATTCTATAAAGCAACCAAATCCCTTATATTGCAGTGTGTGCTGACCATGGAGACCCTCCCTGAGGAGCTTATTGTCGACATTCTCTTGAGATTGCCCGTCAAATCTTTGTTGCGCTTCAAATCCATATGTAAGTTATGTCGTTCTCTGATTTCTGATCCTTGCTTTGCCCAATCCCATTATCAGTTATCTTCCTCCGTCACCGATAGGCTTGTTAACATCTCTGATTCTGGAGTTCGATCCATAGATTTCCACTCATCTTTCAACCGACGATTCTGCTGTTGTAAACCTTAATTTTCCAATTACACCACCTCCTTTTAATGTGATCATTAGAGGTTCTTGTAGAGGCTTTGTGCTTTTCTATTTTCATCCTTATCATCATTTTTGTGTGGAATCCATCAACTGGTGTCTACAAACAAGTACTGTACTTTCCTATGCTGTCTTGACTTTTCCCTTTCATTGATAGTCTCGGCTATGACGCCTCTAATGATGACTATTAGATACTTCTAAGCAAGTTTGGTCCAAATGATGGTGACTCGGAATCCGATTTTCAGTTTTTCTCCATGAAAGCCAATTCGTGGAAGAAAATTGAGGGCACTGGTTTTCCCTATATCAACGCCGTGGAGCGCTCTAGAGCTGGGGTATTTCTTAATGAAGCCATTCATTCATTGGTCTACCGTGACGATGATGCCTTTGTTGATTTAATTCTTTCTTTTTATTTAACATAGAGGAAATTAATTGATATTCCACTGCTTAATTGTTTTTTGCAAGACATGGAATTTGTTTATTTGGGGACACTTGGAAGATGCCTCAATCCATCCATTGTTGATGAAAACATTAACGGAGCTGAAATATGGTTGATGAAGGAATATGGAATGAAGTCGTCTTGGACTAAATCCATGGTTGTGATTGTTGAGATTCCTTGTGAGTTCTTCTTCCCAATATGCCTCACCAAACGTGGTGAAATTGTTGGATCAGTACTTGGTTATGATAAGTTATTGAAATGCAATGACAAAGGGAAAGTGCTGGAGAATTATGAATACAAGAATCAACCATATGAGGATAACGCCATTGCATGTAGAGAGAGTTTACGTTCACTTCATAGTGAAAGTGAGGAAGGAGGAGGAGACAACCAACAACAATGATCATGGGGCATGTAATGTAAGGAATATATTCTCTATTTTTGCTACAATTTAATTTGCCTATCATTTGTTGAATCCTAAAGGATGAAGATTATTCTTCAAATTATTTGATTACTATTACATGTTCAGTTCAATCTAATTTGAACCTCATGGTGTAAGAAAAAATTCCTACCAATGGTAGCCTCATGAATACTAGGACGACCTTCAATATTGATCCTAGAATAAATTGATTTGACATGCTTGACTAGTTGAACCAAGCACTCATTTGGTTAATACATTTCATTACTTCTTTAGCTTTAAGCACTTTATTTTACTAGCAATTCACCTTTAAATACTTACTATATGATACAATGTAATATAACAAAGGGCATGTTTGGATTTCAATTTGACAAAAATAAGTTTTCATTAATTATATTTTTTCAATATTACTTTTTAAATGGAGAGAGAATTAAAATAATTATAGTATAATGATTAAGTACATGAATTTAAAGTTATGTTAAATAAAAGACATTTTTAGTGTTAATTAAGAAAAAAGAGAGGATGTCACACCGGAGGGACTCAGATGGGAAAAACGATGGAGAAAAGATGGAGGTGGCTTTACTATAGATTAGAGTCCAAAATAAGGGTCGGGCCTGAAGGGTTGCTCGTTTAAGCTCATTTTTATAAAAATTTGAGCTTTAAAAAAATTATATTTTTAAAAAAAATCGGGCTTGAAAGCTCTTTTAGGCTTGTTTTTGTTTTTTCCTTAAAAAATAAAATATTTTTAATTTTTAAATTGAATTTAAACTTTGGAATATATATTTATAATTTAAAATTAAAATTTTTATTATTTATTTTTAATTTTTAAATATTATAGTTTTTATTTTTAAAAAACATATGAAATATTATAATTAAAAATTTTAATTTTTAAAAATTCTAAAAAAATAAAAAAAATAATAATAAGGGCTTACAGGCTTGACCTTAGGCCCTTTATATAAAGACCAGGCTTTAAAAAATTAGGTATTTTAAGAAAACCATGCTTAAGGGCTCAAGTTCATACAGGTCAGGTTTGCCCGTTTCTCAACTCTACTATAGATAGAGGATGACGAGCAAGATCGAACTTGGAGAAAGGCGGAAGAAGATGAAGGAGACAAAAATGATTGAACTCATTCAATAGCCTCCAGAAGAGATGTGCTGAAGCTTTTCTTTTCTTTTTTTTTTAAATGTGTCAAGGAGGATTTACAAATATGTAGTCTCTGGGTTAAAATTGAAAAGTTAATGCATATATTTTAGAGAGAATTACAGTTAGATTTCATACAAGAGAATTAATTACTACAAGATTCATTGACAACTGAACTAAACAATGGACCTTACCGTAATTAATTTCTTTGTGTGAAATTTCAATATAATTGTCCCTGTATTTTATACCCATCCAACATGGTATTAACTTTCTTCACAATGGAGTCTTTTAGCCAAACACAATTAACAAAAAATGGAGGGTGTTTGTTTGCTTTTTTTTGTTTGGGGTTAAAACCATGGTTTTAATTGGCATAATTGATTAATTTGGGGTATACAAACAAGCTCAAAAACAATAATTTTAAAATGTTTGAGATACGGTTATATGAGTGTGTGTGACTGTGTGTAATGTACATTTAAAAATTTTAGAATATATGTATGAGTATCTCGAATTTTAAACAAATAGTTTTAAAATAATATAAAAAATATTTACAACTATCAACTAAAATATTAATTTTTGTAACATTTTAAAGTAATATAGAAATGTTTTGTTGTAAAAAAAAAATCATTATACGTATGTTACAACATGTCATACGTATTATAAAGTATAAATGGTTCATATACTGAATACCTACCAAATGCATCTATATTTACAATTTTTTAAGCATTAGCATCTCCATTCCCAATCTAAATATAAATCCTAATATAAAAGAAAGAAAAATAAATGTATCAAAAATACTTGCTATGATTTAAATTGTAAGAATCTTTTAACAATAATCTGTATGTTAAGAAAATTTTAGTTCTCATAAAAATATAGGAGTATATTGTTTTCCCTTCTTACTTTCAATTCTACTTTATGTTGAAGGAAGAAGATTATAGATTCACATATAGGAGAATCCAAGTTAATAAATAAAAAGAGATAAAATAATTTTTTTACAAATATTAAATTGTATAAATTTTAAATTAAGATTAGTTGAATGAAATGTTTATATTTTGAATAAGACAGTTCTTTGATTGGTGATGTAGCTAATTCTCCCCACTAGAGATCTTAGATATGCTTGAAGCTCCACTTGGAGGAGGAAAGTCAACACAAACATGTAGCAGTTAGAGGCTTAGAGCTATCTAAATCTGAACCCTCATGTTGGATGGGTACAAAATATCTATATATTAAAAGAATAAGAATGCGTGAATGTATTTATATATAATTTATGTTGTTTGGTTTTTCTCCCTATTTTTTATTTTTAAACACTGTTTTATAATATAATTTTTAAAATTTTTTTAAAAATATAATTTTAGATTTCTATACTTTACTCAAGTTTTATTAAAAATTTTTACACATTTTTTAGTATTTTAGGTTCCTATACTTTTATTTTTTATTGTTCTCTAGAACACTGAAAAAATATAAGAACCTATAACAAAACTTAAGTAAAGTGTAGGGATCTAAAATTATATTTTTTTAATTTTTGCAAAACAAAATAAAATAAAATAAAAACCCATTTGATTCTATTAATTTAAAAACAGTTTTAGAAATAAAAAATGGACTGATATTGATAATTATAAGTGGTTAATAGTAATGACTGATGAAAGAAATTGGCAAAGATAATTGTAATTTTTAATAATTAAATGTAGAATATTTTAAAATTGAAAAAAATAAAATAAAAACAACTCAAGGTTGTTTCTATTTTTTGTTTCAAAAATTAAAAAATTAATTAAATTAAAAACACTTATGTAAATAAGTTTTTAAATTTTTTTATTTTCAAAAAATAGTTTTTAAATACTAAAAACAAACAAGCACTAAATTTGCTTCTATGGTGCCAAAAGTCTAGGTAAAGTTGGTTGAAGAAGGAAAATAAAAATAATGAGTTGTTTGAAATTATTTTTATTTAATTATTTTAAAAATTAGTGTTTTATAGAACATGTTTTGAGAATAAAAATAATAAAAATGAGCTTTTTCTTATTATCCTTTATTTTTCAGAACAATAATATCAAAACATTTAAAAGATGATTCTGTTTTTTTATTTTTTAAAATACTTTTTGAAAACATATTGCTAAATAAATTTTTTTGTTTTTGTTATTTTGGAGAACGGAAAACTATTTTTAGGTAACCAAATAAACCCTTAATTTCTATTCTTCTTAATTGTGTAATATTCGACTTGCAAAAAAAAAAAAACAAGTATTAGTAATTAAAAAAATAAAAAAGTAATTTGTTCCTAAATTATAGATTTAGGAGTGTCTAGAATCCTAACTCATTTTTTCTTTAATATTCCCTCAATTTTTAAAAACAAGACAATTCAATTTTTATCATTAATAAAAGTTAATTTTAATTATTAATTAGTTGACTAGAAAATAGCAGAAGAGAATCTCAAAACTTATAAAAAAAAAGCCTAAAAAATTATAATAAAGGACTCAAAAACTTATAGAAAAAGACTAAGAAAATTTGATTGTTATTTTTTTTTGTAATTTTTGAAATACTTTTTATTTTTTTTATCAACTAACGATTAAAGTTAATTTTTATTGTTAATGGTAGGAATTGAATTACATCATTTTCAACAATTAAAGAAAAATATTACACTGATAAAGAGTTTAAGATCCCATACACTTCTAAATTTATGTTTGAGAGACTAATTTGTTCTTTTAAATATAAAATAAAAATAAGCGACTCCAAGATGATCAAAATTATAACATCAAAATACATTTATTTTTAAATTTTTTTAATTTTAAGAATTATTTAATTTGGTTTTAGATCTAAGAATTATTTGCTTTTCATGTTATTAAAATAGGTATGTAATGTTTCTTATATTGTTATAAAACTAATACTTATCTATAAGACGATTATGTCGACCGACCTTTCCCTATTTAAACACCGAGCCATGTGATTAATAATCCAATTCAAGAATTAAATTATTACTTTGCGCATTATTTTATCATGCAATCATTTCATTTTTGAAACAGTATTTACAGTGGGATATTATGATTTTTCACTAATTAAAAGCTAAAAAGCAAATGATGATCATGGCTTTTTCACAAATATGCTGTACACAGGAAACAAAATTACCTAGATACTGCACCGGAAGAATATTTATCCAAGTACTATACCAAAAATCATTCAAACAAAAAATGAGTCTATATTTGTGAAGAACTTGTTTACATAAAGAACAATCTTGTAATCAAAAAATGTGACATTTATTTTTTTATAAAAAATGAAGTCCTTTTTTTTTTATTAATAAGACATAATATTCACTTTGAAGATGCGACTCCTCCCTAAGAGAATTTCCCTACATGCTTTTCCTTCCCTATTCTCATTGCATGGTGAGTAATTGTCTACCCACACCAACTGAAAATGAAAATGCAATGGAATACAAGTTTCAAAATTTTAATTAATTTCATCATATGCCACCCTCATCATTGTCATCCCTTTTCAACTTAACATTTAAGTAGGAGTGAGTGAGCTAAAAAAAGATGATGATGATGAAGGCAACATGTAAAGAGATTGAATAAAATTTTAAAGCTCTTATTCTCTTACACATTTTTAACTGATGGTTAAGAAAACAAGCAATCACCATGTAATAATAATAAGAAAGGGAAAACATATAGGGAGATTCTTACAAGGATGGGTCGTATTTTCCCAACGAATATCATGTCTCATCAATAAAAAAAAAAAAGTTGAACTCATTCACAAAGTGAAACATTTCACTTTTCATAAATAATTAAATGTCAAATTTTCTGACTACAAAATTATTCTTTATATGAATAAGTTGTGCACAAATGCAAATTTATTTTCAGTTTGAACGATTTCTAGTATAATATTTGGATAAATACTTATCACAATGTAGCATTTTTGTAATTTTATTTACTATTTATAGCATATTGGTAAAAACGCTGATGATC